CACTAGCAATACACATCGATTTTACTTCCGATCGCACGTTTTTGTCAATTTTTTTTCATTAGCGCAAAAAAAAAATATATTGTCAAAAACCTTTGATCGGGGGTAAAACCATGCGTGTTTCTATTTTAATGGCAATTTGATTCGTTGTTATTGCAATTTCGACTTCTCGGTCTTATTAAAATATTCGTCAATTTTTAATCTTTTTGTAAAAATAGGATGTTTGCTTTTTTATTATTTGATGATTAATTTTCTAATCTCACTCTAATATCTCTTTTGTTTAAATTTAATCTCCCCTTTTCTACCTTTTTTTAAATTCATTTTTGGTAACTGGTTTGTTGCGGTTTTTTTTTTTTTCATGCGCGTGGGGTTTTCTTTGTTGGGGATGTATGCTTGTTTATTTGTGTCTCATGTTTTTTTTTTTAATTATTACTTTTTTAATTTGTTCTCTCTTATTTTTTTATGCCCCATATACGCTTTTTAATGTTTTCAACGGATTTCTCTGCAATTAAAGGGTCTCTGGGGCTAAATTTGGTATCATTTCCGGCGGTTGCCTTTGTTTTTGTTTTATTTTATCTTTATTTTGAATTGTTTGCATTTGGTTTGGGGTGTATAGCCGGCGTTTTTATTATTATTTACCTTGGTTAAGAAAAGTAATCGGGATTTTATTTTTTAGTTACTGAAAATTTCGGTTTCTCGGCGTCTTTTTTTTTATGTCCATGATGGGGGGGAATTTTCTCGTTTTTGTGACCCCCGTATATTTAGTAGTTCCTGTGGCTTATGGTTCTTGTTTCTTTCGCTCGTATTAATTTTATTGTCGTTTTTTTTTTAAACATATTGGTATAGCGGTTCATCATTTTATTTAATTCATTAAGGGGATTCCAAGGGGTGTAATGTTTTGGTGCTGCCTGAATTTTAGTGTGATTTGTTATCCTTCTTTAGTCTTTTTCTGTTATTCAGGTATTTCTTGACCTATTTCGTTTCTTTAATTGTTTTGTTGCGGCATTTTCTAATTTTCTTTGATTTACACATTTCAGAACTATTTATTGAAATATATGTTTATAGGATGCTTTTAATATATTTGGTGCGAGTTGCTTTTGCATTGATATTCTCAACTGGAGGTGAAACATAAAAGCAATAGGGCGAATTAAAAGAAATTTTATATGCTTTAAGAAAGAATAAGAGTATTCTAATAAAGGAATACATTATGATCTTTCTCATGGCAAAGAATTCTGAAAAGACCTAATGTCAAAAGAATAGGATTACCACCTAACTCGAACTGAAATTACATACAGAGGATACTCATAGTAATCATCATCACGAGTTTCATATCTTTTTAATAGGAAAATAAAAATAAACTGGATAAACAGCAAAAGGTTTTACATACAAAAAAATTGTACCATGTATTATATATAATAGTAAATAAAAATCAAATAAGTTTATGGATTTTTTCAAGCTCTTGAATTCATTTTTCTTCATATTGTATACATTGTTTGAAAATTAGACATTATTCATGCATCATTGCTATATAGTTTTTCTCTTTTTCGTATTTATATACTATGAGAAGATTGCTTTCTAGAATAAGAGGGATATGTGGCGCATTTATTCAAGGGTACCATATGTTACTCAAACTCCCATCACCAATCATTTATTATTTTCAACAACTTCCAAACTTTATTTAGAAGCTGGCTTATCAGAGCAAGACCGAGAGCGTGAACTACGAAAACTGGTTCTCCGCAAATACAATGGTACGAGTATTCCTGAAATAAATAGCTTTGAGTATGGCCATTTCTCTTCTGGAGATATTAATGTATCTACTGCCCAATATGCATTCCATGATTCAGATGCTTCCTTTAATGGTGATATATTATCCAACAATGGTTGGAGAAGGATTATAAACATGATCTGGCCCATTATTTTTGTTGGTTTTGCTTTGATTTATTTTCTTAGCAATGTATTTCTTCGAACTAGTTATGTTTTAAATGGCCTTGATCTTCCCCTATGGTTGGCAAGCATTGAAAGACACTCCAAATATATTATTTTTGAAATCCAGTTTGATGAACAAACGAAGAATAATTTAAAGAAAGAGTTTGAGTTTGTTCACCTCTCGAATCCATTTGTTGATTTTTTTGTCTGGGTCAAGACAAGGAAGCCGGAATTTGAGTTCGGCATACGGTACGGACCTGAGGTATGTATAAATACACTATTGTCATTCTTAGCAAATACTGAACCACATATGCTAACGATATTTTATCGATCTATTCAAATGGCGTCACTTAAAAAAAACAAGTCTCCTACACAAAGGCTTGATGAGTTCATTGATCAAATTCGTTTTTCCGGAGCTGTGCTTAATGGATGTATGAATCCGAGAGCATTTAGTTCCGAAAATGTTGATTGTTCTAAACCAGCACCGATTCCTTTTGTTCAATTACCCATTACTGCATCAGAAGTACGTAATGTTAATTACTACTAAATTCTTGATATCCTACGATTTAGTCTTCACGAAACCAATCCTTTCCACCACTTATATCCTGACGAGCAATATTAATCCTAATCCAAACAAAATTTTCAAGTTTTGTATGTGCGTAGTGTTCTCATTATTCTTATTACTTTATATCTAAGGAAACGTACTATTTTTTAATAATTTCGTTAGCTTTTCCAAGTTGGCGATTTTATGTGTCCTAAATTTATTTGCTTGAATTGATGTAGTTTATGAGTTCGTATAAAGTACTTCATTTTTTTCTAAATTTTCGATGCATTCTTTAGGGCGATAGAGAAAGGGACTTGCATACATACATATATCTATAAATATGTATATGTATTCAATTAAATACGCTATAGGAGTTTCTTAAACGTTTCTCACCGACTGGTCTGCATTTTAATCTTTTAGATTGTAAAAATATAATACATTTTTCCCTTTTCTATATTCTTTCATACTTTATAGACTATATATCATAAACTCATTTTTATACAGTTTAAACTAAATGGCACGTAATAAAGGACATAAACAACGATTCGGATCCAAGCATATCTTGGCGGAGAAGAAGAAGGTGCGAAAGCTGCAGTCAGCTAACAGAAGTGTTAAGGGGATAGCCATTCCAAGTTCTAAGGATCTATCACATCAAATATTAAAATCTTTTCGAGAAAAACAGGTGAGAACTTCCATTGAACACAAAAGATTGGGAGGGGCCAATGGAACTCCTCGAATTATTGGTGTCCTCCCAGCCAATGAATCCGGGAATACTGAGGAGGTAATTTCAGAGTTGTGTAAAGCTCTCGGCACTAAATGGAATCCTGGTGAAGGAACACGTACCATTATTTCACACGAAAAAAAAAATTCCTTTACGTTTATATGCGAAAAAAATTGCAACAATAGCGACTGCGTTGATATTTCAAAAGTTTCTGATATTCTTATTCTCGTCCTAGATGTATCACAAATGGTACATGATACAATCAAAGAGATTCAGGCTTCATCGACTTATGATGATGATGATGCTCAAACAACTGCTTCTGCATGGTTTAGTGATGTGGGTCTTTGTATTACTGATTACACACGTGATCTCATTACGGTGATTAATTCTCAGAGTGCCTCTGGTGTAGTCGTGGCTCTTCAAAATTTACATACCTTTCCTGAAAAGCGCAGACAGAAAATCATAAAGGTACACCAACGTTACTTCCTTTCTGTCCTACATGAGTCCACTAAAATAATGGTAGTGGATGATGAGAATAGCTACAAATCACTTGTGCATCATCTCCAAGTTATGAAAATTCATTCATTAAAATGGAGAGATCAACATCCTTATTTTGCAGCGGAAAATGGTGCCTATGATATTAATTCTAGACAGCTTACACTTTGCGGGTACCTGCGCGGCCAGCCCTTATCAGCAACTCAACTAATCCATCTCACTAATCATGGTACATTTCAAATTTCGAATATTTTCATATTCAATGAGAATGGGGAAAAAATAATTCTAGATAACAGTGATGAGACTCAACGAGAGTCATTGAAGCCTATACAAGCCATTTCATCTCTTGAGGATGAGGGTATTCCGACTGAAGCAGATATAGAATATATACAAGAAATGGGAGACTCACACAGGATCAAAGTGCCGCTTGGTTCTTCAGATTATCAGGCAGTATGGTATGATAGTGAAGAAAACATTGTGACAGAGGATGGCACATCAGATATTGGAATTTCCAATAAGGATAATGATGGATTCGTGGAGGCTATGCCATACCATACCACTCAGTCAGATGTAGATTTTTTGAAGGTAGATGTTGCAACCCATTTTCGACAAATGTCTTATGAGGAAAAGGAGCTTGAAATGCAAAGACTAAAAGAAGCCAGTGAGGAAGATGCATGGTCTCCTGACATAGTGGACACTCCTACTAACATTACTGCACGTCAACGTTTTGCCAAGTATCGAGGTCTAAAAAGTTTTCAAACAGGAAAGTGGGATTCAGCAGAAAATTTACCACCTCAGTATTCCTACATTTACAAACTTCAGGGTTATTCAAAGATCCGGGCCAATGCTATTGAGAAATGTAAGGAAGGGCTGGCTCAAGTTGGCCAATTTGTTTATATTACACTAGAAAGTGTTGACTCAAATCTTTGGGAAAACAAAGCCAGCTGCTTACTAATTGCATCAGGACAATTGGAACATGAGCAAAAATGGTCTCTACTCCATTTTCAAGTTCAACGTGCGAGCAGATTTAGCGAACCTATAAAATCAAAAACGCCAATGCTGGCACATATAGGCTTTCGAAAATTTTATGTATCTCCTTTGTTCAGTCATATTAATTCTGGAGATCGTACAAAATTTTTACGCTTTTTCCATGAGGCTGATAGGTTTTGCATGGTATCCTTTTTTGGCCCTATTTCATACAATCCTTGTCCAATTCTTTTGTTTGAAATGCCGTCCTTAGAAGGGCAATTAGAAGGTAGCCTACTTCAACTTGCTTGTTTTGGTGGAGCTAATCCGCCTAATCCTGATATTCTCATTCTCAAACGAGCGATTCTAACCGGTCGTGTGGCAGTCATTCACAAAAGGCAGATTGTTGTTAAATACATGTTTTCTAATGATGATGATGTGAAATGGTTTCGACTAGTGGATTTATACACTAAATTAGGTCGTCGTGGGAAGATATTAAAGGGTGTTGGTACGCATGGTTTGTTTAAAGCTACCTTCAATGATCAAGTGATGCAGCATGATGTTGTATGTATGGATTTATACAAACGTGTCTTTCCAAAGTGGAATACAGTAGCGTTTAATATCTCAGAGGTTAGTTCCCCTTTCCGTTATGGTAATGAAGAAAGTGAGTCTTGAATAGTAAACTAAGAGGCTATTAACTATTAAAAGCTATTTGAGTAAATTATTTTCCTCTAAAATTCAAATCTATTGCTAGCTAAAGAGTCTAGCTTTGTTTTGGTAATAAGCACTTCTAATAATTTATAGGATTGTATACTGACAGTAGCGAGTGAACTGCGACTGCCTAATATAAATCTTGTGTGATGTAGGCACCTTAAATTTATGGTCCCATTTGTAATTTTCTATGGAAAGAATTTAGCAATTTCTAGCTATCGACATTATTGAAATATAAAATCCGAATTATCAATGCGTCGATTTCTACATGTCTTCAGTGCCCATCATTCTAGATGTGTTTCTTATGCTGCAAGCATATTTAATTACAAGGCAATATCGGATGAATTGATTCCTTTTCCTTCTCACAAACTGGAAAATGATGAGATGGAGAATACTCAAACACTCATTGAACAGATTCGCAGCAACGATAAGGAGTTAAGTACTGCAGGTGCTCGGATAGCTGTTGAATATGGGGGGCTTGGACTTGGACACACAGCTCACGCTTTGGTTTGCGAGGAATTAGGGACATGTGGGAATAGGAAGCTTTTATCAGCTATCCAACATTGTACTATGGCTTCGTACTTGCTTTCTACATTTAGCTCGTCCAAATTAAAAGGAAAATATCTCACATCTATGTCTGATGGAACTGCTATGATGGGTTGGGCTGTTAAGGAGGAATTTGGTACCGATTTAAGTATGAACACTACCACAGCCACCTTTGAAAAGGGCGTATATCGAATTAAGGGTGAAAAGATATGTCACTATGGAGAGAACGCGACTCATTTTCTAGTCATGGCGAAGACTATGACGCAGGTTTCTACAGAGGGTGGCCCAAAGGAATTATCTCGGAATTCTTTTTTTGTAGTCAAGAACAATAATAATCATGAGTATGTCCGGATGAATAAAAACCATGTAACATTTGACAGCGCTCCTGCTGAGGATGTCATTGGCGTGGTGGGTGAAGCCTTCAGGAATTCAATGATTACCCTTTTCACAGAAGAGTACGCGTATGCTGCCGCTTTGTTAGGTACTCTAAAACGAGTTGTGCAAGAGCTACGGTCCATGGTACCAGATCGCTGGGCAACAACAACCGTTGCTTCTTGTGCATGCTCTATTTACGCTATGGAGTCAGCTCTGTATGCTCTTACTGCCTGTTTAGACATACAGACAGAGGATAGTTTGCTGGAGGCAGCACTTGTGAATGCATTTGTGCAGACAACAACAAACGAATGGCTGACACTTCTTTCAACTGCAACTCCCACGACAGAAGCCCTGGAGAAATGCTTCGTATGCGCCAGAACTCTTTTAGAGATGATGGAGTCTAGTGATTTTCTTTATTCCACAGCGGTGTGCTATGGTGTTGAAGACTTTGGATTAAATTTTCAGCGTACAACAACCTTGCAACTAATGCAGGCACGTCTGTTACGCACTTTTAACTTATATGAACGTCTTCCTCTCAAAGAAATTGATTGTACACCAATCGAGAAAGCCATTGTGAATTTTGGAAACGCCGTAGAAAGTGCTTTTGTTCGTAACACCACTCGACTTTCGTACCAGCAATTGCTTATTAATCGTCTAGGAGAGGCAGCGGGGCTTATTTATATTGCTACAGCTGTCGCTTCACGTGCTTCCATGAGCATCAATAAGCGCATCAAAACAGCTCATACAGAAAAACAGCTCGCAGAAGCGTTCATTATTTCTGCAATGGAGCGTGTGAATATCCTTTCCAGCGAGTGCTGTAACACAGGGCTTACAGCGGATGATTCGTACATGCGCATCGCATTAGAATTGTGCGAAGACGCACTTCAATAATAACCACTGGAGGGTGCTAATAAATCTTAAAACTGTATGTCAGGAAATAGAGGTTCATCCATCTAGTCATTCATAAGACAAGTGATTGAGAGGTGTTACTACTCGATAGTAAAATAGAGGGTGATGTTAATGATGATAATATCAATTTTGATTTGCCTAATGATCTCTTCGTGACTTTTTTTTCTTAGACACTTTTGGAGGATATATTCATTTATGCTTTACCACAAAACTATAATCACTTGAGTTTATCGAGTAGCAGCATTTCTAGTAGTGATTGCCTGTCCGTTTTTATTTTTCTAAAATAACCACTTTAACAGTCATCATTGCTAACACTTTTTATTAATTTCCTGAATAATAATAAAAAAACACTCAATAGTCATTAGTCTGTAATGCTATTTTTCTGGAACTTAACACGCCACCAATTAGTTCATTTCATTAGTTGACTACTTAATTTGAGGTATGAGGAGCGATGTTTCACTATCCAAATTATTTTACAATTATAACAAAGATGCAGAAAATCCAGTAAACAATATTTTGAGTTTTGAATGCAAACGCAAGTCAACAGACTATGTTGACATGTAGTTTTTTTCTGTTAATGCAACATATTGGTCAAGATGTTCCCAAACGTCATACCCACTTTGTATTAGAGTCGCGTCTTATGTATGAAAAATCGTTCCGCGACGAGTGGCTTCGCAGCTTATGTCAGGCCATCTCCACATTGGACGAACCATTGGCGAAAACACTTTCTGGTGCACGTCAGCGAATGTTTCAGAGGAAAGTAGCTTGCTTCAGCTACAATCAGTTTGGACTTTTTACGGTTCCTTACTATCGGTTGGCAAATGTTGATCGTTACTACGCTGTGCAAGGGGTTCCAGGAACTCGAGAATGGGTGCCATATGCGAATGTGTCGTATTGGACCATGAACAAGATGGTCCGCAGTGGTCATATGTTAGTACACCGTGTATATTATAAAGGATGGGGTACTGATAGGTCTCTTAATCAGGGTGGGTGGGAATATCGATGGAATAAAATTATGCAGCGTAACGTTCTTCAATATACTTCCATTTGAAACATTTCTATTAACGTTTTTTCTGCAAAAAATGTCACCTGGAATAGTTCGTTCGTGACCAATATTGATACATAATGAGAACCAAAAAAAAACTAGATTGAGGACTATATTCATCAAAGTTTATTGTTATGCACTTTTTTCCCATTCAGTTTATATCTATTCACTACCTTCTTTAATCTTTGCTCATATTTAGTTATGTATCACTTTTAAGAGCAACATTTTCTTGATTTCCATTCATTTCGTTTTTCAAGACATCCATGAGTTCCTCGGTTAGCCGCCGCATTATTAAAGTCGGATCAAGTGCGAGTAAAAAATTCACCATTCGATCCGAAGATGTCATTGCATTCGGAAATATTATCGAGGATCATAATCCCATTCATTCCGACTCAGATGCTGCAAAGGCTGCCGGCTTTCCGCGGACTATATGTCATGGGATGTTTGCCGGATCTCTGTTTTCAGGACTCATGGCGACAGAGATCCCAGGACCAAACACCATTTATCTCTCACAAAATCTAAACTTCAAGGCTCCTATTTTTGTTGGTGACGAAGTAGAGGTTTCCGTTGAGGTGACTCAATTTCGACGTAGCAAGGGACTTGTGGCGATGCGAACTGTTATACAAAAAGAGGATTTGCAAACAGGAAGGCAGGTTGTTTGTATCGAGGGGACTGCACTAGGGTTGAACAAGGAAGCCGAATTCGAAGGAGAAAGTGAGTGGAAGTTTTCCAAATGATGTTTTAATAAAAAAAACCCCTCTATCACCATTGGTACTAACTTTTTAAATCTTATTCTTTATATTTGGAAGCTATGTAGGGGCCAAATAGTCTAAGAAAAACACAGAGATGTCCAAAAAGTAGCAATATGTACAGTTATATCTGTAGTACAGTTGTTACTCTATATCTTTTTTTTCCATTTTATTTTAAATGCTCCAACGAACTTTACTTCACACAAATGTAATCGCATTCCTCTCTCCTTTCTTTGATTTTAGTTACTTTTTGCTTCTTCTGCTGTTCCTGTTCATTATCGTTCTTTTATAAGACACACACACACATTAACACAGGGTTGCATTAATTTTTATTAATTATTTACAGACATTTTATTTTTATTATTTTGTCCTTCTTTTTTAAAAGAATGAACTGCTTGATACGAACATTATATCATCGCCTGTTAAGGCTTAGCCGTCTCTTTGATCATGATGCGGGACGATGCATGCTGTTGTGCAGTCAAGTGGAGATCACCCCGTGCAGGTTACCGCTCCCACTTCAGATACGTGTTGACACCACTATTCGTGACGTTTTTCACCGTGGTTCGCATTTTTATTTCCCTATCACTAAAAGTGGAACGGATAAAAGTGTTTCTTCGGTTCCATCGCTAGAGAAATTTATGAAAATGTGTTTTACAACGTATCCCGCAACCCCCGTAAATATACAGAATGCGTTTGCATGTCTTCAAAGACTGCAGACTATTAATAATTATTTTGAAAAAGAAGGTGGAAAACATCTCGTTCTTTCATCTTTTCGAGAGTATTGCCGATGTGTGTCATCAGAGTTGAGGTTGTCTGGTGTATTCACCGTGTCTACTTCGCAGCGCCTTTTACCCTTTAATTTTGGCTTTTTGCGCTTCACTGGAACTGACACACATGAAGCGGCACAGTTTCTTCCCAATGAGGCCTCATATTTGGCACTAATAGGGGGGACTTCTACAAGCTACACGAACACTCTTATGACTCGTATAGCAAATAAAATCCCAGGTCAACTTGTGTCTGGCCCGAGTAGTGATATAAGTTGCTTGACTTCTACACCGAATGTGATGCAGATCCTCCTGGCACACCCGAATGTACGGGATAAAAACATGTTTGCCGTGGTACTTCTAGTGTCAGTTTCGCTGTGTGGCAGAGAAGCCATGGGGTTTGTACTGAATGTCGCACCTCCTTCTTTGATCAGGGAGGATGCTGACGCTTCGTCGTCTTTCCGTCAGAAGCTGGGGCACTTCGCACACTGTGATAAGGAAAAAGGCCGCGTTGACACGGTTGACACCAATCCGCTGTGCTCTACGAAGTGTCTAATTGATTCTCTAGGGACAGAGTGGCATCCTATTTTTACAGAGCTATCGAGTTTAGATCCAAGCGCTTGCAAGGAAATGAATGCATCCCACGATAGGCCTCTTTGCAACCACGAAACCTTATTGGCTCCAGTGCATTTAATTCACTGTGTGGCTGATGCACCAGGGGCCACCCTTCTCGCTACGGGGATATGGTTGGATGGGGATAAAGATTTTCTTCTTCGAAAGCTTTACGATGGGACGGCTTTGAAGGAGGATTTTATTGTTGTGCATCATAATTCCATAAGACACTGGAATCATGGCGCTCTTCAAGAGGAAATTCAGAAGGGTAAATGGCTACTATTGCAGAGTACTGCGGAGGGCCTCGGAAACAATTATAGCGAAGCTGTGAAAGAAGTAATTTTTACATTATCACAAAGCTCCAGAGATGATGCCGATTCATGTAGTACAATTCCGTTTGATTTGCCACAACATTCATCTTTTTACACTCATAACAATGATAGCGAACATGGTGTCACGACTGAAAATGTGATTGAAGACGAAGGGGATAAGGAATTCAATGCGGGCCCCATCGAATCAACTGATATTGATGACGAGGATATCTATGCTTCGGTGAAAGAAGCAACCATCACTGGTGACAATACCGACAAAGATGGTATTATGAATGAACCTGAAGGTGCTATACAACTAAATAAGACTATTTCGGAAGTGTCGACCTGGTCTCGTTACTACATTTTGGATCAGTTGGATCCCGAAGACTTGGAGATGTGGTCGATTATGGCGGCCTGGTCAACAGCTGATGACACCCTTACTTCCATGGAAAAGTATTGGCGCTTGATGTATTACATACTGGGATCACCCTTCGACGCATTAGCAGTACAGCGTACTTTTGTATCACTACCTATGCTGGACGAGGATGAAGAGGGTAACAATGTACATGAATGGCGTGCTTTAGCGATTAGAGAATCTTGATCCAATGCGGGGGTACAGCAGGTAGATGTAGCAACAGCAAGAATTATGGTGATGATAAGCGATGTTTTTTTTAATATCAAAGTCTTTTCAATTATCTTTTTGTGTTTGCTCAGCACTTCTGATAGATAGCCTTTCGTTGAGTGCTTTTCCTGCGTCCTTTTTCAACACAATTAATATATATACGCTACCCATTTTTTTTCCCAATTTATTATTTGGAAAAGTTGATCTTTAATCTCGTTTTTTGAAAGCATTCTCAATGGAGAAGAGGAGAGCTCAGAGCAAAACAATATAAAAAACAATATGTTTCGTAGGATTTTTAAATCGAGAAACTATATGTACATCTTTTTTAAAAAAGTTATTTCACGCTTTTTCACTCCATGTTCGCCTACGCTAATAGTACAATATATCTATAACTAGAGAATAATCAATGATCACATTGAAGATGCATATTGTTTAGATGTCTCTTTTTTTTTATATATTTTAATGATTACCCCGAGAACAAATTCATCTTTTTTTCTTGTATATAAAGCTGTGCATTAGACTTAAAAAAAAAAGGAAGGCAAGACACAAGATAAGCTTAACACTTAGGAGGTTAATTAACGCAATGCAGCGGTGCCGAAGGCTTTGTAGCTTTTTTGAACATGATTGGCGCGATAAAATCCCTTTCTCGAATGATCGTCAAGGCCGATTTAACATAGTGGAAGCGGCTTCTGAGTTGCAATTGAATGATAAATATCTTGCATCACTATACAAACCTTTGCATTATACATACTCCGTAAAGGGCCAGCTTTATCCAGCTGAACAGGGTCGTAGTAGTCGTCCAGGGTTGTTAGCGAGTTCTCGCAACCGAATGTTTCCACTATATCGCCGCGACTATGGTCTTGACAGAGAAATGCGCCACTTAAGCTGGCGACGCATCACAACTGAATGAAGCAACCGAAGATGACAATAGGAGGTTCAGTAAAAAGCCAACAAAAACTCTCTAAAATATACATCTTCGTCTGCCAATATCTAGGATTTTAGACAGAAGTCCTTCAGCTTGATATTCCTCAAAGATGACTCAAAAAATAAGTACGTATGCCTTTTTATAGCATCATACCTTCCTTAATGCCTCTTTCAGTTAGAATAGTTTTTTTTTTCCCTTTGTCGGAGGTTTCACAGAAAAAGGAAGTCGACTCATCTACATTTCTGGAGATATTTATACACCTACGAGGCTGGAGTAATGATGCGATGGGCGGTGGATATAGCAGGGATTGATATTGAGGCAGACTTGAGACATGAGGCGAACAAAAGAATTCCTCAAGAGCCTACCGGCCTTCAGAAAGCGCGATGGCTCGCGCTTGACGATCAAAAGCTAGGTAATGGGGAACACACCGAGATCTTAGGGAGTGTGTGGGTACCTAACCAAGCTGAGTTACAGAAGTTATACGATGCGCGTATTTCGAACCCGAAGTTGCTGGAAACCCCCTTTGGCTTGCGTCAACAGCAGTTTTTTCAGGGTTCTATGCCGAAAAGGCGAAATGAGGGAAGCAGTAGTATTAATTCAAACAATATGCCGCTTAGCCAGGGTGCGAGCACGCAGTCTTTAGACAAGAGCTTCGAGTCGTTTAAATGCAAGGAGATATGCATTTTTTCAACCTTCTTAAACCCACAAGGCAAGCGAACGGCTGTGACTATTGTCATGAACCAGCCAGTCTTCAAAGGTGTCGACGTCGTGAACGCCTTTCTGAAGAATTATGTCAATGCCGACGAACGCCTATCCCAGCGGTTCTCCACCAACCCACGCCTGTACAAACTTTTCTTCGCCGATGAATTTACCGGGGAGGAGGATATGGCGGTTCAACTTGATCTCATCGCGCAAAATTTTTCCTGTTACTTTGTCAATCCCTTACCCGCGGCCAGGCTGTACTTGTTTCCGCAGCGCACCGGGCTTCTGCCATCCACGCCATATGATATCCATTTAACGGTACAGATCCGTCCTTTGGACCATCAAGGAAAGCCAATCCAGCGAAAATGTTTAGTCCCCGCCGATATGTTAGCCGAGAATCTCGAGACGACCGTTTCGAGCCGACTTCTTTCCAGCGCGATCGTGCAAGGGTCGCTGCGGATTAAATATGGTCCGTTGGAGCTGAATATTAACGAATATTGCGATTTTGGCCCCGGTTGTGGTCGTCCGAGTTGCCCCATTGCGGAGCGGACGATTCTTTCGTTATACCGCTTTGGCGTGACGGAGGTGGTGGTGAGTGGGCGCGCTGTGGAGGACGTCGCGGGGGAAGGCCCGGTGAAGGATTCGGACGCGATCGCGATCGAGATGGACCTCAATGAGGCCTTTTCCTTCCAACAGTTCGAGGTGATTCGGATTAATCGATATGGCGCTCGACAACAGTGGTTGCTGTGCGTGGATGGGGAGCACCTGTACACGGTGAAGCCGAACTCGGATTCCATCAAGACGGTGGAGAGGCCGATTAAGGATATCGAGGAGGTGCGTGTGTTCTCGAGTAGGCCGCGGTATATGGAGGTCGTCTACACGCGTGCATCACGTCTGGAAGAGGATCACTTCGAGTGCAGTACGGCGAGCAATTGTGCCTTTTTAAATGAGAAATTGCGTATTATTCGTCACGAATTGCATAAAAAACAAGAAAAGGAAATCCAGGCCGCGGCGGCAAAAGAGCGGCATAGCCTTATCCATCGTTTGTTAGATGGATTTAAGTCCAGGTGGTTCATTTTTTGATACAAGTCACGTATCTCATGACATCTTGATAGAGATGGGCGCCGAGAGACACAAGGACGGTGTTATGGGAATGACATGTTGCTTGTGTATATTACCTTCTCTATATTTGTACTTGTGGTACTTTAAGGAGTTTCTATTTGACATTTTCTTTTGTTCATGTCTGATTTTTTCCCTAGGCTGTTTGCGCTGATTGATTATTTACTGGAAAAAATAGGGTCATATATAATAGATATATCTGTATGTGGATACGCCGATATTCTGAGTTACATGGACGAAAAATCATGACATTCCTTTCGTATTGCATAAGATACTTTGTGCATTATCTTTATGTTTTTGCTTTCTATTTTTTCAACATTCCTGGCCCCATGAGTGATATGTTGCGATAAAATGATATGGCTGTTTTGCAACTTCTTTTTTCTTCAGCTTTTCTTTTCATACTTTCTTTTATTATAAGTAAAGCTTACATTTTTTTCTATTAACTTAACTTACGTCGCATTAATAAATATCCCAAATGGTCCAAAGTGATGCTAATCTGATTGGTGGTAACATCGTTAGAGCGCAGCGTGAACCTGAATCATTGTCCACGGATGATCAAGAAAATTCGAAAGTGAATCCAAATAACCAACCCCATAAAAATGAGGAGAAAAAGACTCACGAAAAAGGATTCATTGGGTCTTTAAAGAAATGTCTTCGCTGGATCTCTCTCCCATTTGGATCGAAATACCTTTTAGGTGTCATCCTTATTATATGTGTTGCGATAATTTGGGTTGCTTCTTCCATGTGGATTCAGTACATATTTGGTGATTTAAATTATAATCGACCATACTTTTTAACATATTTCAACACGACACTTTTTTCATTATATAATTTTGGATATTTGTTCATGCCATCCTGGAGACGCCTCAGGTGGAGGGATAACTCCCACCACTCCACAGATCCCGAAATTCTTCGCTCAAACGCGGAGTTGGCCCGATTTATGCAGGATCAACGAAATGACCCCAGGGAATTTATCGGCCAGAGAGGGGAAATGCAGGATGGTCATGTACACGAATCGGAGCCCGCCAACCCCACCACATTTAATTCCATTGGGACTGTTCACGGCGCCGAGAATGCCGAAACCGAAAGAGTTCAGGGAGGTGGGATTCCCTCCGCGGATGCCGCGGCCAACCACCCCGCATTTCTTTATCCATCCAATCCCACGACCGTCCAATCTGTGGGGGATGAGGAGATGCTGCCGCGTTATTCGATGTACAAAATTTGGCATTGCGCGATGTTCTTTTGCTTTTACTGGTTTGCCGCCAATTATCTCTATAACCTCTCATTATCTTATACCGATATCAGCTCCAACGCGGTATTATCCTCCACAACCAATATCTGGACACTTTTGTTTTCGTACTTAATTTTGCATAAACGTGTGGGGATGTTAAAGTGCTTTGCCGTTGTGATGTGTGTAGGGGGATCTATTATTATCGCGATGAGCGATAGCAATGAATCCTCGTCATCGATTAAAACCAGTGATAAATTGATTGGCGACGTACTTGCACTGGTTTCTGCCTTTTTCTATTCCGTTTATACATCGGTTCTGAGCAAATGCCTCCCCGATGATGATCGCTACAGCATGTTTATGGTTTTTGGTGCTGTGGGGACGATCAATTTGGTGTGTTTTTGGCCAGGACTCATCGCGCTGAATTCGCTTAAATTTGAGATCTTTACCTGGCCAAGCAACGTCCAGTTCTGGTCGATGCTTGTGAACTCCTTGATTGGTACCAATCTTTCGGATATTCTATGGGCCCGCAGTGTTGTTTTGGCCTCCCCTGTCATCGCGACGCTGGGCGTCTCGCTGACATCACCTTTTTCCATGATCGCGGATGCCATTTTTAACGGTAAGACCTTCAGTGGATTGTATGTATCGGGTGCACTTATGGTCATGTCCGGATTTGTGCTCGCCAATGTCCCTAAAATAAATTTTAGTTACTTCAAGAGGCGTTAATATTTTGATTAACCCATAATTTATTTCTTTGTCTTATAGCTGCCTCTTACCAATGCGTGGATAAATTATAGATTGTAAATATTAAATTGTGCATGAATAGATACATTTTCATATATGAGAGCATTATTATTAATTTATCTAAATTTTTCCATAATGTGTGCCATTCTTCCTCTTAGATTTTTTGTGGTTACGCTACAATGTTCTTTGTAAATATTTCATGTCACTAATGTATGAAGAATTTGTTTAGTGCATGCAAAACGAGGTCAGTTAAAATAGGACATATCTCTATAAAGGGATTAGTAGTTGATAATAAGGATAAAAGAACGAAAGAAAAAAGGATCTAATTATAAAAGTCATCTTGGATTAAAGTGAAAAAAAACTTTTTTTTACCATAATAGAATCAAAGATAGGTAAAAATGATCAGTTGATCTGAATAATAAGCAATATTACATTTTGTAATTGGTCTGTGTTAGTCCAAAGTTGAAATGAGTAATTATTTACTTTTTTTTTTAAAAAATTGTTGTTTCCATCTCTGTGTTTTTCCTCTTTTCGATACACATTTATCCGATGCTTAAATTTTTTTTGGATTTCTTGTGCAATATTTGAGGGACACACACACGCATGCAGGAACGTTTAAAGGTAAATGCGGGAGAGTTGACAGCATCCAAAACAATATATATAAGTATATTTCCCTTTTTATTTACTACAAGTCATAAATTATTGAATATTGGTAAATGAATATATATATAAGAATGTTATACGAAGTTTACGTTAATATTCATAGTAATAATAGTAAAAATATCAGATTTCACCAATCTTAACAGTTGAACCTTTTAGTGAGTTTGAATTCATTTTAAAGATCGGTGATTAAGTGTTACATTTTTGGGTACTGTGGTTTGAAAGGGTCCAATAAAAAATATTCTGTCTTTTATTTTCTTTTCTTTTTTGTTGAATTTTATCTCTGTCTAGTTGATTTTTCCCCTCCCCCAGCACATCATTAGGGAGTGGGCGCTGAGGTGAAAAGGACTTGCCTTGGCTTCGTGTCCAACCCGAGTAGAAACAATAAATCGACAAGCCCCTCTCTTCCCCTTCCCACCATTGAAGGATGGAGCTCAAAGAGATCGCCGTGCCGTGCTTTTCCATCGGCTCGCTTTTGGCGCCCGTTTCGTGGACGATGGACGCGCAATCCCACCACCTCCCGTTTTCGATGCCGCGGCGATCCCACCCGGGGCTTGGGTGGGGTACTTCGCGATGTCGGAGCGGGAATACCGTTCGGTTCGAACGCTTTGATGGCTCCGGCCGCACGTTATACATCACGGAGGTGTTTAGTTTTCAACCCGGCATGGCCCGAACGGACGGTGGGGGCTTTCGAACGGCGACCATCGCCGGGGTTGATGGCGAAGGGGAGGACGCGGCCTATGACCCAACGACGCCAGGGGGCCCCCACGGCGGAGTTTTGCATTCTCCGTCTTTGAATGGCCCTCGTGTGGAGAGTTTGGCCGTCCGGGTGGCGGAGGGCGAGGGGGTCGAGGGCCCTGAATCGCCCGCGAAAAGCGCCTCTTCGGCTCGCTTCGAGTCGAAGGTGGCATGGCTTTCTTCACAGAATTACGAGGTCGTTTTGCACATCGCGTTCGATGGGTTTGATGGGCCGTCCGAGTCTGCGGCGGAGGTTATCGCGCGAATCGCCCGCGATGCGATGGCAAAGTACCGAAGACCACGGATTCAGGCCCCGAATGTCTTTGCACCCGCGTGGTCGTCTTTGGATTCCACCGCTTTTCGGGGCCAAGTTGGGATGTTAAACAACACCGCCATTTTCCTGCCTCGCTCCTGCGATCATCTTTTTTCGGAAGAGGGCGGCGGGGGTTTGTTTTATGCCCGCGGGGTTTACAGTCGTCTTGGGAAGGCGTTGTTGGTGTTTCGCCGGGGCGGGGGATACGGCGGTTGCGATGGGGGAGCGGGCGTGGTGTGGAATGCCCCCAACGCGGTCCATTCCCATGGCCCGGACGAGGCGGATGGAGGGCTTTGGGCCCTCTCACATCGGCGCGAGGGCGGGGATCCTAATCGCCATCAACCCCCCACGTCATTGGCAAAAGGGCGACCGGTTATGGATGGGCTTGGGCCTGACAACGCTGAGCCCGGTTCGCAGGTCGCCCTCGCGGGGCTTCGGGACTTTGTTTCGCAGAAGTTGCGGCTCAACACCGCCGAGGCGCTTTGCTTTGCGGTGCCCCCCCAACCCGGGGGATTCGCACGGAATCCCAAACCCCACCGCGATGTTGGTCCCCCAACCCCCCCTGTATTGGAAAGGGACGTGCGTTTGCGTGCGGTTTGCGTGGCCGGATTCCCCCTGACGACGGCTGGGGCCTCGATCTACAATTATCGTTCGGTGGAATACGCGTTCGAGCGGCATGTCGACAGGGCCCTTCGCGGGGACTTCGCGCTGATGCAAATCGCCCCCTCCGGGCGGTTTGTCCCGTCCGATGCGGCCTTGGCGGAGGTGGGGGCGGCGTTCGCGAGTGGGGCGTCCTGGGAGGCCCCCTCCCCCCCCTCCGCCTCGCGGGACTGGCGGGGCGCGAGGGACGCGTACGTCCCCCCACGCTCGACGTGGTATGGGCTCCGCCGGCGGGGTTTATCCCCTCAGGGGGGCGCTTTCCCGTCTTTTAATCCGAAGGTTTCGCCCTCGCCGGGGGAAATGCGGTCGGCGGGGGATGGGGAAGGCCTAATCAATGCGGAACGGGCGCTGGTGGTGCAGCTTATCGCCCCCCGCGTGGACAGCGAATACGCGATGGTGGTGGTGGCGGCCGTCGAGCCGGCGGGCCTTCTCGCAAGCGAAAAGGCCGACGAAGAGGGGGGCGGCCCGACGCCCGATCCGGCTTTTCCTTCGCTCTATGAAACGGCGGCGAGGCGGCTCGCGGGGAGTTTTTTTTTGGAATTTCCGTATCCCAAACGGTGGGCCCTGTCTCGTACAACCGGCGACCTGGCGGGATTCTTTTTCCGTCAAGGCTATTTGCTGCTGCATCTCCCGTCAGGGGACCCGCGTTATGTTAACACCACGGTGAGGCCGAACGCCGCAAGGTGTTTTTCCTCTCTCGGCTCGCTTATTGTTCACACATCGCACCCATGGCCCTGCCCGAAAAGCCAGTCGAATTCTTCTCAGGGCGAGCCCCAGTCCCATCGGTCCTGCGAGGCCCCAAGCTCGCCCGATAAAGCCGGGGCGAGAGGGAATGGCGTCCGCGCCATTTCCCCCCCGGATGGTGTTTTTAGCTCGGCCGAGTTTGCGAGCCTCTCCGCGGTGTGGACGTTAGTTGCGGATGGCCGCAGTAGCGAGGAGTTTCTCGATTTCTACATCGCCGAGTTTGACCACGTTAGCGCCCTGACCCACCTCCCAGCCGTCGACAAGGCCGGCGCCGCGGGAGGGCGTGGAGGGCGGTTGACCGTTCGGCAAAGGGGCACCCGAAGTTATCGAACGTCCGCGGGCTTGGGGGATGGCTGGGAAGGGAAGGAGACGACGGCGTGGTTGGGGTGGGGGCCCCATCTTCGGCTTTACGTCTGCGCCCACGAGAGTGGCGTCGGGCGGATGCTGCTCATCCAGGCCTCAATCTTATCGAGCGAGCGCCCTGAGGATGGCCGAGGCGTGGATGAACCCGAGGCGCCGGGGATCGGTGAGGCGGAGGAGACGAGTCTCGCGCGATGGCTGGCGGGCATTTCCGCGGAATCGATCGGTCTATGAGCGATGGAATGGGCTTTGAATTCACTCAGTCAAAGGTCGCCGTGCTTTTGCTATACTGCGATTCCGCACCTAACTAATGGTATCTTTCTATATTATATAGGACAAGCCGCGTGTTTTTTTTTCTATTGTATGCTCGAGGATTAGGTAAGATTCAAAGAAGGATGCACTTTTTCGATTTCCCAGTACCTTTGTTTTTTATTTTAATTTTCCGTATATGTCTTGTAAGTCCGGGTATCCATACGAAGGAATTGGCACACGTCTATTTGTTCTACTTAGGGGGGGTTTAGCATCGATTTTATGTTAGCGTGGTCGACCTAATTTTCGCCTCTCGATCCATTAACGACCCGACACTCTTCTCCTTCCACCCAGCGTTTTTTCTTTTTCTTTTCTTTTTTTTGTAGTGTAGTGCGTATTCCGAGGGGCGACCACGACCGAACCCCGCGCCATCGCGTCCGAACCGGCTTTATTCGAGATGGATGGCAGGGGCCCGGACGGCGCTGGGGCCGCCCCCGCCGCGGACGTCTTTTTCCCGCAAACCTGCACCCACATCGCGCACGACCTCCACCCCAGCGGCGCGCTCCGCACCGTCCTCGTCAGCGGAGGGGGGGATCGCCTGGTCTTCCTCGCGGATGGCGTCCGCATAGCGGCCTCGGGGCCTCTTTTCACGGGGGATTCCCCCCTTTTCGCGCGCGATCCGGCCCCGGGCGCCGCGGCTCCGGGGGTTCGGCATATCGCGATTTGCCCCTTTTCCCCCCGTTCGCTCCGGGTGGTGGTGGCGACGGCCCGGGCGGTCGCCGTGGTGGACGTGGACGACTCGGACTGGGCCCGGCGGGACCCCCCCCCGGCGAAGGGCGGCCTGGCGCGGGGGGACGGGGGGTTCTCGCCGCGCGTGCGGCGCCTGCGGGGGGCGGAGGAGTCCCCCGGGGATCGCCCCGGGGGCT